AAAAAATATATTATTTCCAAACAGAACAAACAATCTTGAGGTCTCTATTACACAATAGTGTGACAGTACAAACCCCACCACAACACAACCAAACAAGAGGGGCACACACATTATAATAGTTTCCCCAAACACAACATTTTCACCTGCTCATTTCCTCTCAAATAAACCCATCATGATAATAAATTAATAGTAAATTTCCAGGAATTATCGACTAACTCAAAACGACTACATAAAGGACGAGTTGAAGTGTGTGCTTAAGAGATCATGCGATGAGAAGACATCCTCTTTTTCCTCAACCTCTCTGCAACGATAAAGGCGAGCTCGAGCGACTGTGAAGCATTTAACCTCGGGTCACAATGTGTGTGGTAACGTGAGCTGAGGTCATCATATGTCACCGTTCTTGATCCTCCTATGCATTCTGTCACATTTTGGCCCGTCATCTCAAGATGAATGCCACCAGGGTTGCTGCCTTCTTGTTCGTGAACATCAAAGAAAGCCCTCACCTCAGCCTAAAACAATAAATTCAAGAACAAATTATTATAACTTCTTACACCTGTTATTATGGAGAGAGAGAGAGAATCCATTAAAGAAGCAAATTCGGGCCAGCCCAGCTCGGGGACCAAAACGAATCAGTGCAAACTTGTTCGGGTTGGTTCAATAGACAAGTTAAAAATTCGATGCTTCTGGGCCTTGGAAATCTTATCGCAGACCAGCCCAAGCCCGAGCACGGTTCTCGTATGCTTTAGGTATGCAGGAATCATAATCATAGAATGTGGTCCATTTGATAGAACAGCAACTAATAGCAAGCAACAAGTCAAAAAATTTCGACCAATGAAAATGTTACTACTTTGAAAAACTTAATAATAATTGAACCACGTGACAGACAATTTAGTACAATGATTCACCAATAAAACAACAAAACTGGAATAATGGTGCAACCCTACTTCTCTTGTCCCACCTACCTTAACAGAATTTTCCAGTCGTTAGATTGTGTTTAGTTACATCAATCCATTTATTTCGACATAAAACTATATATAATTACAATATTTTTCCCTCTCAACGTGCCTTTTGTGCCTGTCAACAAGGACAATTCACGATCACCTTGTCCACATCCACTGAAACTATTCAATACAGATGTTCTAACAACACGAACTTCACATGTGCTCCTAAAACTTTGGATTCAAACAAGATGTATTATTTACTCGTATATGATGTGATATATAAAGCCATAAGTAACACGAAATTTCGACACGGTCCAAACTAAGATTTACTCTGGGTTGGATTTACTGATCAAATTATAAAGCAATAAAAACCAACTTGTCACTAGTACATAGAAAAGAAAAAAAGGAATCATACCAAGATGGCATCAAAAGCACGAGTTTTGAGCCCGCAAGGCGCCTTGATCGTGTTCCCATGCATGGGATCACATACCCAGGTCACGATCTGCCCGGCTCTACGGACGGCCCTGATCAAATGAGGAAGCTTAACTCTCATGTTCTCGGCACCCATTCTAACTATGACTGTTATTCTCCCTGGTTTGTTAGTAGGGTTCAAGATGTCAATCAGCTTAGTGAGTTCATTAGGGTCCATCTTTTGGCTCACCTGCACCCAAAACAATAAATAAATAAAAAATCATCTAAAGGGGAGTGATGCTTTTAACTTGTATGAAGGGTAATGTATTTTTAGTTAGTCCACTTAGTTGGGAGTGTTTCTCACCCTGATTTTAGGTCGACCGATTAATCGCGATTAATCGCGATTAATCGTCCTGGTCGCTCCCAAGTGCTCGATTAGGAGGTCGGACCCGACCAGCTCGACCAGAAACCTGGTCGTCCGATTAATCGTGTATGGACGACCAGGACATATATTTGTCTTTTTGGGCTGGTATGTGGGCTGCTGGGCTTAACCTGTTTGGCCTGTTAGGGTTAAGATATATATAGGAAGGAGGCAGCACGATTAATCTAGCTGGTCGACGATTAATCACGATTAATCGTCTGGTCGGTCCGTGGTCGACCAGGTTCGACCAGCCGACCTGAAAACACTGGTTTCTCATTATTTTTTCTGGTTAGAAACTAAGAATCGCTTTTTAAGAAGTCATGAACACACTCATACACCGATAAATAATCCTGACTATAATTCATATATGCTAATATTCAGGCTTAGCCTAATTGCCAAAACAGCTAAATCATAGTTCAGAGATTACAAAGAATGTTTGCAAAGTAAACCAGTTTCTCCTTGGTTCTATTAGCAGATACTACAAATTTGAAGGACTATTTTGCAACGAACATACACAATTGCGAAAAATAATGTTACCTTGACACCAAGAGGATTAGCGACCCCTCTTAAGAACTCGACATGTGCGCCATCGAGCTGCCTCGTCCGCTCACCAACCCAAAGCATGTGGGCCGAGCACCCATAATATAGCCCAGAAGTTGAATCCTCACGGGTGAGGGCTTGTTCGTAAGGCAGCAGAAGGCACTCATGCGAAGTCCAGAAATCAGTGGTGGACATAACCGGGTGGTCAATCGTGAGCCCAGCAGCCTCCATGAACCCCAGGGCCTCATCAACCCTGTGAGCCAGTTCTTCATACCTGACCATGCAATCCACAAACGCAATCAGTCAGTGGTGGTCTTCATAATTTAGAAATTTAGTTGGGTCCTGTTCACAAATACCCTCACATATAGTAGCTTTATGCAATTTTCCCTATTAACCAAGCTATGTAAATATTGAAATACAATCGAAAGACAACGGAGATGAGGCCTGGACAGGGATACTAAAATAGCAAATTTACCACATGATATTCATTCATTAAAAATAAAATAAAACAGAAAATCACCTGTCTCCTTGCTCGCTATTCTCGACAAAATCAAGATTCCACTGAGTAACCCTCTGCATTGCAGCATAACCTCCGGTGGCAAAGGCCCGGAGAAGGTTGAGGGTCGATGCAGACTGGCAATAGGCCCGTATCAACCTTTGAGGGTCGGGGATTCTCGATTTCTCGTCAAAATCATCCCCATTTATGTTGTCTCCCTTGTAACTGGGTAATTTCACTCCATCCCTTTCTTCATATGGGTCGGATCTTGGTTTAGCAAATTGCCCAGCCATTCTCCCCACCTAAAAGAAAAACCACTAGGAAAATAAATGCAAAAGATAATCGAGAAGAAAAAAATAAATAAACAGAATTTTCAAAACGCTTGTACACCAGACACTGAGTTGCAAACAATAGGTAAGTGACAATAATTGTTGTGTCGCAGAAATCCCATATATTTTCAGAAAACTCTTGAAGTTGAGTCCTTTGGTCACCAAAACATTGAGAGAAGTTGTCGAACAATTCTGCATGTACAGTTTACTATCGAACATGGAAACACTTTCGAAAAAAGAACGAAAAATACATTAAAATGACAGAAAAAACTCGAACTTTTCAAAAAAATAACAATAATACATAAAGGAAAGGCATATACAAAACTTAACATTAGTTGATGTGGATATTAACATGGCAACTAGGACATCCTCAGCAAAATTTCCAATTTCAAGAGTATCAATCTACATTGACTTTCTCTAATCCATGACTTATGCAAATCCCCCCGACTCCAGTGACATAAAGATGATAACTATCCCTCACCATCTACTGATAGATCCATTGCCATTGAGTTTTTTGCTAGTCATACTATTGCAGAACAAGCATACATGCATATTTAAATTCATCAATCCTCCAATAAACGATTACTTTCGAAAAAGCTTTCGTTTTTTTCATCAAGCAAGAGAGCCACGATAATATCAAATCTGGTTCTTACAGCTAGAGTTCACCCCTGTCTGATCATTTCAGGAATCAAACTCCATAAATTAGGCAGAAAACCGAGAACGGAAAATTTGCTAAACAAGAGTGGAATTCTTTCACCTATCTTTCTATTTTATATTTTCAAAATGTTACCTTGATGACAGGCAATTGGCCGCCGAACGAGAGGACCACACTCATCTGGAGCAGAATTCTGAATGTGTCGCGAATATTGTTGGCACTGAACTCCTTAAAGCTCTCGGCGCAGTCGCCACCCTGCAAGAGGAAGGCTTTCCCGAGTGCAGCATCAGCCAGCCGGTCCTCCAGGCTGCGCACCTCGCCGGCGAACACCAATGGAGGGTAGGCCTCCATCGTCTTCAGGACGGACTCGAGCTCGGCCTCGTCCGGGTACTCTGGAAGCTGCAGCGCTTTCTTGGTCTTCCAGGTGTTCGGGGCCCACCTGGTCGCGGAGGGCGGCGGAGATGGAGGTGAGGCGGTTTTCTTGGGAGTGGAGGCGGCGGTTAGGACGGGGGTTTTAGCGGGATCGGCTGAGTGGATAGCCGAGATGCGGCGGCGGGCAGCGGGTTTGGTGGAGAATGAGGAGGGGTGGGCGGTGGCGGAGAGGAGGGTGGTTTGGGGGCGAATGACGGATCTCGACGGCGCGACGGCGGTGTTTGGTAGAGCCATTGGTGTTTCTTTCTTTGTTTTCCTTTCTTGCAAACGAAAGAGGGAGAATGGTTGTATAGAACGCCCAACTCCAGAATGGTTTTATACAAAAAATGTGGAATAGAGAGAGATTTCGGTTGTTAAAAAAGAAAATGTAAATTGCCCCAAAATTCCAAATTTATGCAAAAGTAAAATAATATTACGATTGTATTATAAATTAAAAAATATAAATTACATTACTTATGATTTACCTATTATTTTGAAATTAGACAGTTGGATCGGGAATTGATATATCGGTCTGGGTCACTTGAATAAAATGTTTCCTAGCGAATCAACCAACACCATTGGGTCGAACCGGTATGATAGCTATGATTTTATAAATAATTTTTGTTACATTTTGTAAGAAACTGGGGGAAAAGGAAAGTCCATATGAAGTTCAATGGGGTTCCATCCCAAAACCAATTGGTGGAAGGAGGAGTAGCCTATTAGACTTATAAGGTGTGTCTATTTTCTATGTGTGAACGATGTGGGACAACTCACAAGTGATATTCTAACACGCCCCCTCACTTGTGAGTCCTTATATCATGTCTCTAACCCAGGCACAAAGTGGGCTCTGATATCATGTCTCTAACCCAGACACAAAGTTGGTCGGGCTCTGATATCATGTCTCTAACCCAGGCACAAAGTGGGCTCTAATATCATGTCTCAAACCTGGCTCTGATACCATGTAAGAAACTGGGGGAAAAGGAAAAGCTCATTTGAAGCCCAAATGAGGTTCCATCCCAAAACCAATTGGTGAAAGGAGGAGAAGCCCATTAAACTTATTAAGTGGGTCTATTTTCCATGTATTAACAATGTGGGACAACTCACAAGATTCTAACACGCCCCCTCACTTGTAAGCCTGATATCATGTCTCTAACCCAGGCACAAAGTGGGGTCTGATATCATGTCTCTAACCCAGACACAAAGTTGGTCGGGCTCTGATATCATGTCTCTAACCCAGGCACAAAGTGAGCTCTGATATCATGTCTCTAACCCAGACACAAAGTTGGTCGGGCTCTGATATCATGTCTCTAACCTAGGCACAAAGTGGGCTCTGATATCATCAGATGGCTCTGATACCATTTAAGAAACTGGGGGGTTCTATTTTTTATGTGTGAACGATGTGGGACAACTCATAAGTGATATTCTAACACGCCCCCTCACTTGTGAGTCCTGATATCATGTTTCTAACCCAGGCACAAAGTGGGCTCTGATATCATGTCTCTAACCCAGACACAAAGTTGGTCGGGCTCTGATATCATGTCTCTAACCCAGGCACAAAGTGGGCTCTGATATCATGTCTCAAACCTGGCTCTGATACCATGTAAGAAACTGGGGGAAAAGGAAAGCCCATATGAAGCCCAAATGAGGTTCCATCCCAAAACCAATTGGTGGAAGGAGGAGTAGCCCATTAGTCTTATAAGGTGGGTCTATTTTCCATGTGTGAACGATGTGGGACAACTCACAAGTGATATTCTAACACGCCCCCTCACTTGTGAGTCCAAGTGGGGTTCCATGTATGAACGATGTGGGACAACTCTCAAGTGATATTCTAACACGCCCCCTCACTTGTGAGTCCTGATATCATGTAAAATTATTTTTTATATGAATGAAAATACATATTTAAATAAAATGGATGTTTATAAACTATTTTTCAATTAGCTTAAACATTTGAAACTTTTAAAATTTTAAATGTTTAATTAATATCTTTTATAAATCTATTACAAAAGTTATTATATCTATAAATTAAAATATTAATAAATTAAATTCTAATCTAAAACATAAAACATTGAATAAATATCTTGATAGGTTCGACGATGGTATGGTTATGAGAACCTTAGATTTACCATAGATTAATATGATTGTTTGGAGTTTGAATTACATTACTTGTATTATAATGGACAAAAATTCTATCGAGCCACCAAATGGCTCCCTTATGGAGTTATTCATAACTTTATGTACTGACACATGTCAAATATGTATTTGTTGCAGGACACGTGTCAATACACCATTTGTGAATAATTATGGATGGCTCCATAAGTCGAGCTATCCGATGGCTCTATAGCAATATTGCATAATAGATTATTTTTTAATAATAAAACTTATAGTTAGTATTTTTAATATTAAAACTTATATTTAGGTTAATATTATGTTTTGTTGTTTGGAATAAAAAAGTTACTAAATTTCATTAAGCGTTAATTGCATTAAAACCCAACCTTGTGTTTAATTGCAAATAAAACTCAACATTTTTAACTTTACAACAAAATACCAAACTTTTATTAAGTATTGCAATTTTGTCCAAAAATCAGTTTCCGGTCAAGGCACGCTGACGTGGCCGATCGGAAAAATTAACGTGACACTCAACATTTGAATATCATTGCCACTTCATCATACACATCAAATTCCATGTCACACTTGTAATCCACATCCTATTTTTTTTTTTATTCTTCCTTTAATTGTTGTTTTTCTCCCCGATTTTAATTTGCAGCCCCATTTTCTTTTTATCAGATAAAAATACAGAACAGAACATCGCACATCTCGTCGCCCTTCTCCTCCTTTCTCGATCAATTTCTCATATTTTTCACCAAAAATTAATTGTTATCTTCAATTGTTTAACTCGTGCTTGAACTTTGTTGCTCCGTTTTTATATATCTTGTTGTCGTTGTATCACATTTTCACGCACTTTCAGTAATAAATCGAAGATAAAGTGAGCACCAACAACCGAATGTGAACTCACCCTAAACGATGTCCACTAATTTCCTCTACTCTTTTCTCGTCATATTACTTAAACAAAAAAGAAACATCCTTGCCTTCGATAAGAGGAATCCCTCGAGATTTACTCATGTACCACGGGGATACAACAAAATTACAAAAATGATACTATTAACTCAGATTGAACACAATTTTCTCAAGAACAGAGAGAGAGAGGATGAACAAAAATATTGCGATAATATTGAAGAATGAAAAAGTGAAGTATAAATGAGGTGTGTTGCCCTTTTATACTTAGGGTTTCCTCAATGGCAAAACAGTAAATTACAAATGCCTATAGTTGCTAATAGCAACTTTAACACAAATTCTAATATTACAAGTAACCTATAGTTGTTGTTTTACAAACAACAACTTTAACATAAAATCTAATAACATTATTTATATATAGTGTTAATACCCCCCCGCAAGCTAAACATTAATATTGTTCATGTTAAGCTTGGAAGAAAGATAGGAGAATGCTGGTCCAGGTAATGCTTTGGTTAGTAAATCTGAAATTTGTTCCTTGGTGTCTACATGGTGAAGATGGATAAGGCCTTGAGCAACTTTTTCTCTAATCAAGTGACAATCAATCTGAATATGCTTTGTTCTTTCATGGAAAACAGGGTTAGTGGCAATTGCAATTGCAGATTTACTATCAGAATAAATGGTAACAGGATCATCATGAGGGAGATTAAAATCATTAAAGAGATACAACAACCACTGAATTTCACAAGATGTAGATGCAAGAGCCCTATATTCAGCTTCAACTGAGGATCTACTAACTGTAGACTGCTTTTTAGATTTCCATGATATAAGAGACTTACCAAGAAAAACAGAAAAACCTGTGATACTTTTCCTAGTATTTATGCAAGATGCCCAATCACTATCACAGTAAGCATGCAATTTAACATCAGAATCTCTAGCAAAAAGGATACCCTTACCTATTGTACCTTTTAAGTATCTGAGGACTCTGTGTGCTGCAGCCAAATGATGAGTGGTTGGCTTGGAAAGGAACTGACTTAATGTTTGAACACTGTAGGCAATGTCAGGTCTGGATATTGTCAAATATAGGAGCCTGCCAATCAATTTTCTATATGTGCTGGGTTCTGTAAGTGAGTCAGTGTCAACATATTCAGAAAGTTTGAGAGTAGGATCCATAGGTGTAGAAGCAGGCTTACAGCCTAAGAAACCAGTATCATTTAAAATATCAAGAATGTACTTTCTCTGACACATATTAATACCAGTGGTTGAATGTGCAAATTCCAACCCAAGTATATATTTTAAAGTGCCAAGATCTTTGATAGTAAAACATTTGTCAAGGTGAGTTTTAATAGCAGAAATTTGATCAATGTCATCACCTGTGACAATTATGTCATCAACATATACCAACAGAGCAGTAAAAGAGGATTTTGTATGCATAGTGAATAATGAAGTGTCTGCCACAGACTGAGTAAAGCCATAAGCAAGTAAACAGTGAGTAAGTTTTGAAAACCATTGTCTTGAAGCTTGTTTTAAACCATACAAACTCTTAATTAATTTACAGACTCTATTGTCACCAGGTTTGCAATAACCAGGGGGAGGTTTCATGTAAACTTCCTCTTGTAAATCCCCATGTAAGAAAGCATTATTGACATCAAGTTGATGAATATGCCAATTTTTAATAGAAGCTAAAGCAATGAGAAATCTGACTGTGGTTATTTTTGCAACTGGAGGGAAGGTTTCAAAATAGTCTATACCCTCTTCTTGGGTATAGCCTTTTGCCACAAGTCTAGCTTTGTACCTCTCTATGCTTCCATCAGATTTATATTTAATTTTAAAAACCCATTTACATCCTATACAATGTTTATCTGATGGTAAAGAGGTCAAAACCCAAGTTTTAGTTTGTTCTAAAGCGTCTAGTTCTTTCCTCATGGCTAACTGCCATTGAGGATTTTGGCAGCCTGAGTATAACTTTTTGGTTCAGTGAGCAAAGATATGGATGCTGTAAAACATGAATGAGTTTCAGATAAAGAATCAACAGACAAGTATGATGAGATTGGATAGAGAGATGTTCCAGAAGTGCAATTAGAGATGATTGCAGAATTGGTTCTGGAAGGAGGCAATGAATGTTGATAAACATTTAGGTATGCAGGAGGTCTAGTCTGTCTAGTTTATCTTCTTATAGGTGAAGGATTGTCTGTGGGGATTTGTATAGGAGATGTATTCTGAGTAGTGATTTGAGAGGAAGTATT